AATTAATGCAGGCAGAAGAAACACACAATATAATTGAAGAAGAACTTCAAGACAAGAGAAAAACAAATTTGAGACAGGAAAGTTCAGGTAATAAAAGATCGCTATGGGATAAAGTCTGTTTTGAAATATGTCATGAAGAGGTTAGTTCTGAGACCCCCCGGCCCTTACATCTTTCAAGAACTTAGGTTGGCAGCTGAGCGGTAGAGCGGACAGCACACAGAGAGAATGAATATCCTGGACAAGACTACTACCACACGGAGAAGCAGTGGGAGAGGACTGAATAGGTACAAAGGGTCTATCTAGATCATGGGAAGCCTGGAATGGCAGGTGTTGAGTGGGCTCATTTACGATACTATAGGCATCAACACTAAACAAAAGGCTCTTGAGCAGGGAAATGACCATAAAAAGTGTTTTAAAGAACTTAATCCTATCATAGTATAAAGGATGGAGAAGATTAGAGATTAGAAGACCAAGAATAGATAATGCCAGCAAAACAGTTGTCCTGAGGCCAGCAAACGTGTGGAGGAAAAAGGCTCATGCTGATGAATAACCAAAGACCTGCAAATTAAAACTATACAACACCATTTTTTGGTTAACCAAATTAGTGAAAAATATAAACTAGTAATACTAGCAAAGATAAAGCAATCTCAGACATTGTTGGTGGGAATGTAAATGGAACAGCCTTTTTATGGAAAGCCATATTCATCAGCAATATTTATTAATAATCTTAAAATATTCAGATCCTTAGACTTGATAATTCACTCTTAAAGAATATTTTAAGAAAACAATGTATATATTTTTTACCCATTCAAACACATTTAATTAAGTGCCTATTACATTCCAAATACTGAGGATATAGTAATGAACAAAACATACCTCACTTCTGCTTTCAGGGAACTTAGAAGAGGTAAACATTTAACAAATAAGCGCAAAAGTTTATAGGATACAATGAGAGATTATGTATTTATGTACGTATGCAAACTCTACACCCAACATGGGGCTTGAACTCACAACCCTGAGATCAAGAGTTGCAGGCTCTACCGACTGAGCCAACTGGGCACCAGAAGAGAGAGCATTTTTAAACACTTGATTTAAAGTGTGAGATCAGGGGCGCCTGTGTGGCTCAGTCAGTTAAGCGTCCGACTTCAGCTCAGGTCATGATCTCACAGTTCGTGGGTTCAATCCCTGTGTCAGGCTCTGTGCTGACAGCTCAGAGCCTGGAGCCTGCTTCGGATTCTGTCTCCCTCTCTCTCTGCCCCTCCCCCCTTGCGCTCTGTCTCTCTGTCTTTCTCTCTCTCAAAAGTAAATATTAAAAAAAAATAATTTGTGAGATCAGAAAAGACCCTTCTGGGAAATAACATTTATTTATTTTTATAATGTTTATTTATTTTTGAAGGAGAGAGCACAAGCAGGCGAGGAGCAGAGAGAGGGGGTGACAGAGGATCCACAGCAGTCTCTGTGCCAACAGCAGCAAAACCGATGTGGGGCTCAAACTCATGAACTGTGAGATCATGACCTGAGCTAAGTAAGGCTGCACACTCAACCGACTTAACCACCCAGGTGCCACCTGGGAAATAACATTTATATTGAGAGCTGAAGGGTGAGTGGAATTTAGCCACGTGAAGAATGGGAGAAAGTTTTCTTCCTGACAGAGGAAATAATACTCATGAAGGCAAGAAAGAGTTAGTTGTATTCAAGATTTTTCTTTTTTCACAAAATTAGTTAATTAATTAATTAATTTGTTTTTTTTAGAGGGGGTGTAGAGAGGGAATGGGAGAGAAAGAATTTTAAACAGTCTCCATGCCCAGTACAGAGCCCAACACGGGGTTGGATCCCATGACCCTGGGATCATGGCCTGAGCGAAAATCAAGAGTCACATGCTTAACTGACTGAGCCACCCAGGCACCCCTGTATTCAAGATTTTTAACCTATTCAACAAATATGTATGGAGGTAGGTCCTAATAAGTGTCAGGTACTAGGGACCAAGGATAAGAAACCGAAGAAAATAGTCAAGTTGAGGTAGCAGCAGATAAAACAGGTTTAAAAAATTGTATAGCTATAGTAGGGCCTAGTATTCATAATGAAGACAAAGATATATCAGGAAATGATATAGGAGGAAACTAATGCATGTGGCAGGAAAAAGAAGATGGCATAAAGGTAACAAACACAAAGGCACTGTGTCTTCTTTCAAACCCAAACAGTATAGACTTACCTGAGAAAGATACGTTCAAAACGTAGTGTTCATTAAATAATATATATACCATTTATAGGTAGAAATACTTAGATGGGTCGGTACTAAAATGTTTATATGCAGAGAAGAACAAGGAGAGATCAAAAATAAATAAACATGTACACACGAATTAAAGCGTAGCTATACTCGGGAAACTATTTCCCCTACAGCTATCCATGAATGGTTCCCAGCTCTGTTAAGCACTCAGGGAAAAGTAATCATTTTTTGGAATAAAAAGCAGGCTTTCTTTGTGAGAGGCCAAAATATACACACACACACATACACACATATATGTGTGTATGTGTGTGTGTATATATAAATTAAAAATCGACCAAATGAACCTCCACAAGGTTAATGTGAAGAGTGACATTTACACAAACCTTATGGTGAGAATAAGCTTGGAACCATCAGCAAGTTACAAAAGAAGCCATATACATGAGTATGACCTCATATGAGCAGCAGACCTGAGGGAAGAGAGCCCTTTTTCAACCTCCTAAATTATCTAAATAGTGATATTTTATGGTTGGTACATGTGAACAGTGTTAAAGAGTCAAACATGGGGCACCCAGGTGGCTCAGCCAGTTAAGCATCTGACTTCAGCTCAGATCATGATCTCACAGTTTGTGGGTTTGAGCCCCATGTTGGGCTCTGTGTTGACAGCTCAGAGCCTGGAGCCTGCTTCCGATTCTGTGTCTCCCTCTTTCTCTACCCCTCCCCTGCTTGCACTCTCTCTTTCAAAAACAAACATTAAAAAAA